AACAGTGAGAGGCCCACGTACCGCAAAAAACAAAACAAAACAAAACAAACAAAAAAAAGTGAGTCTCAGAAGAAGAGAAAAAAAAGCATCAGAAAGAATATCTAAAGAAATAAAAACTTCCCAAATTTGATGAAAAACATTAGTCTATCAACCCACAAAGCTTCAAAAACTTCAAGTAGGATAAACTTAAAATGTGCACACAAGGCATATGATAATCAAGCTATTGAAAGACAGAGAATCTTGAAAGCAGCAAGAGAGAAGTGACTCATCACATACAAAAGGTTCTCGGTAAGATTAACAGCTGATTTCTCATCAGAAACCATGGAAGCCAAATGGCAGTGAGATGACATAGTCAAAGTTCTGCATAGAAAAAACTGCCAACCAAGAATTCTATATTCAGCAAAACTAACCTTCAAAAAGGAAAGAAAAATTAACACATTTTCAGATAAACATTGCCAGCAGAACTGTTCTACAAAAAAAGTTCTTCAGGTTTAAAGGACACTACATAGTAATGCAATTCCACACAAAGAAATACACAACTGATAAATGTAAATACAAATACCAGCATAGGTAAATATAAAAGACAAAAAATACATACATTTTACTTGTAACTTTTCCTCCCTCTCATTTAAAAGAAAAATGCATAAAGCAATAATTATAAATCTACATTGATGGCCACACAATTTATAAAGCTATATAATCTGTGACAATAACAGCATGGGGGGAGGTGGAGAGATGAAGCTGCAGAGCAAAGTTTTTATTATTGAAATTAAATTGGTATTAATCCAAACTAGGTGAAATAGATCAGCTTTACAATGTCTTCTTCTAATAAAAACTCGATATATCTTTCGTCTCTTATTTTTTCATTTGTGATTTTGGTGATGACACCAAAGAAGTCTAAGAAGGCTTTGACTAAACAAGGGTCATAAATATTTATTTCTATATTTTCTACTACAAGATTTATAGTTTCTTCTTATATTTAGGTTTATACTCCCTTTTAATTTTTGTGTATGTGGTGTGAGGAAGACTGTTTTTCTTCATTTTTATTTTCTGTCTGTACTTCATATTTCACAATTTCTATCTATCTTCAGGTTTGCTGATTCTTCTGCCAGTTCAAATCTACTGTTGAGCCTCTCTAGTAAATTTTTCACCTTGGTTATTATACTTTTCAACTCAAGAATTTTCATTTCATTCTTTTTTTGTAATTTCTATCTTAATATTTTCCATTTGATGAGACATTGTCAGTATACTTTCTTTAAATCTGGTTTCCTTTAGGTCTTTGAACCTATTTATAATAGCTGCTTAACATTTATCCTACATCTGGTACCCCTCAAAGGAAGTTTCTATTGCCTTTTTCCCTCATACGTCGCACTTTGCTGTTTCTTTGAATGTCTAATTTTATATTGAAAGCTGGACATTTTAGGTAACATATTGTAGGATCTCTGCATACTCCTCGCCCACTCTGGACTTGTTTTTAGTAATTTGGCTAAACTAATTCACCAAGTCTTTTTCCCCTCACAGTATGCAGCCTCTGTTGTCACTGCTCAACTTGTTTCCCCCTCATTTTTATCTTTAAGCCTGACTCCTAGGGGTTGCTTTCAAGTCAACACCACCTAGCAACCAGCCAGATTGATCAAAGGTTGTGCTTAAGCCCCCTGAATCAGTAAGAGATTTACACCCTTTACCATTGGATCTGTGACTTGGAGGCTGCTTTCACTGTTTAGGGAGTTTACAAGATTTGCCCTACATTCAGCAAGGGTTGCTCCTATGTGGTTGCAGCCTTGAGCATGCACACATTCTTTCTGATTACAAGGGACGTCTGCAGTTTTATTCAGACTTTCTCTCTCTCTCTCTCATCTTTAAGCTTCTCAGTGATATCTAGTGGTATCACCAGCAACTGTTAGCCTTCAGTAACTGCTAGATGATTGCTCTATTGTTTACAACAATACTATAGGGTATAAATTGTTCCAGTCTGATCCAGATAAAGTCAGGCCCCTTGTAACAGACAGCATGTTTACCAAATCTTTGAAGCTCACTCCAACGCTCCCCTGAACAGGACCCCTGTGCCTCTGTGCTATGGAGCAGGTTGTGGGGTGGGGGAATGTTGGGAAACTGGGTCTACATTGAATGCTCCCTGAATATTCCCTGTGGAACAGCTGTGCTGGTGGCTGGGGAAGGCATAGGAGGAGACTAGAATGTGCCAAGGTTCACCAGCTGCTGAATGTACATACAACAGCTCTCCTGCCCCAAGAAAGCTGGGAGAGATGTATGCTGCCACATGACTGCCAATCCAACCAGAGCAGGTTAAGTCTCATAACAAAGCTGTGAGGGAAAGGGGGACTGCACAGTTCTGTAGCTGCCCTGTCCTGATTTTTATACTGCATGAATTAGGAATGGGGTAATGGGCACCACTACCCAGCCGCCACCACCTTATTCAATACAAGCCTTCTGTGGGGCACAGGCATGGAAAATGAGATCTTCTGAACAGCAGTATATTTAACCTTACACCCAGAAACACTGTATTTCTCCCAGTTAGGTTCTGTGGTTTTTCTTTTGGAAGCTTCACACAATTTTTTACTTTGTGGCTCTTATTATAAATGGGTCTTCTTTTATTGCCTCCCAAATGATTACTCTTAAGTGTTCAGAAAACTATTTCTCAACGTACTCTCTTGGATTTTCAAAATATTGAAATAAAGTCATTTGCAAATAGTATTTTGGTCTCTCTCCAAGTTTTCATTTTGCTTTCCTACAATAACATAGCAGTAACTTATGAAATAATTGATGACAGTAGGCACCTATGTTTCACTACTTAATTGAAAGAGGCAATTTGAGTTGCAACCTGAATATAACCTTCACTTTTGGTTGAAGGACTCTAAATTATTAAGGAAGAATTCTTCTTTTAACATATTAAAAATGTCTCTACTAGGCATTAGTATTTTTTATAAGTACATTCTTGGCATTGACTAAAATCATGATTTTCAAAATTGATGTATATTAACATTCCTCCTACATTACTCAAGTTTACACTATGATAATTTATGATGTTCACTTTTTAAAGAAAAAAGATTCTTAAACTTGGGGCATTTATTAACAGAAGCCATTTTAGACAGAGAAATAGTCAAAAAATAATTCAAATAAGATTATCAAACACCTCTTCCAAGATATTGGCTACTTCTTGTCTAGTTATTAAAGGAAGCATACTTAAAGCAATGAATACCCAAATCAACAAAGCTGATCCTATTTCAGCTCTCCATTATAGGGAAATTCTTTTGCAAATACTGCACTCTTAACTAACATCCCCCAGCAAGTTTTACCAGGTGAGATCCCCAAGGCACTTTGCTGAAAACAAAGATCGTAACAAATTGCTGTGACAAGGAACAGAGCCAACACCTCAACACAAATGGGACATATCCTAAGTAAGCAGATGTCAATGGTGAAAAGGAATCTTACTAAAAAGAAAAAATATGAAGTGAGTTGCATGGAATTAATACAACATTCTGTTTTCAGCTAACCTCTATTTCCCCCCATCCTAAAGAATTCCTATTACTTTTTCTCACCAGTGATTTCAAGTCACTAAAAGAACTAGTATCTATTTCTCATCTAACCTGGACATAAGTTCTCACAGCAACTGATCTCATTTTTAATCTCTCCATAAATTGCATTACCCTTAGCACACAAAAGACCTATCTACTTCACCCGCTAATTATTTTCATTACCTTTACATTCACTTCACTTTCAAACAAATACATCTACCTTGGTTAACTGTATATACCTATATTTTAGTTTTCATACTTGTAACTTTTATATAGCTGGTGTATATCACAAAAAAAAACTATATCAAACTTCTGTTTTGAATAAAAATCTCAATCTAAAAACCGATCTTTGAGAGAAAGCAAGGGTTGGTAAACCATTTGATGGGCCAAATTTGGCCCACTGACAGGTTTTTTTTTTAACAAAGTTTTATTAAAATACAGGCAAACTCATTCATGTGTCATCTATGGCTGCTTCTGCATTATGACAAAGTAGTTAACAACAGAGACTAATGGCCTACAAAGCCTAAGTTATTTGTCTGACCCTTTACTGAAATACCTGACTCCTTAATGAAAACAAAAATTTTTATAAAAAACTATTAGAATTCAATCTGTGCTGAATGCTTAGTATTGAAATTATATCTCAATTATATTTCAAACTCTAAAAGTTGAACTATTATTTTAAGTGAATGACAAGTAGTGAGGCTCATTTCAATGCAGAAGAACAAATAGGAAAAAATGAAAATCTCCTGACCCAGAAGTTGGATTGCAAAAATAACACTAACTCTTCCAGCTGTAATAAGAACTTCAAACTAATGAATATCATATTTTGGAAAGCCATCTTTAGCTAACTTTCAGCCAGAAGGAAAGAAAGGATAGAGGGTTTTATTTTCAGACTTTCTGCTCTGGCAATAAAGAGGCTCCAAGCAGGCTTTCCTCCTTCAGAATAACCTAGTTTAAAAAACAAAACAAAACAAAAAAACTCATAAAAGGTATCAACTAGAGTATCTGGGGCACGAAGCTTTTTAAAATAGCTTTTAAAACCTTAAGGCAAAAAGTATGTATCTTGACATTAGATTTTTTTTTTTACTGGTATGGCTATTCTGAAATGTATTTTTATAGTGCTGCAAACATTGGCAAGACAGTTCCTTCTCTCTCCTCTATTCACAGAAGGTGATGCATCATAATAGATCTAACCATAACAGAGCAACATTTCAGTTTTACTGCCGTTAGGGTACTGAAGAACATAAGCCTCTCTGTGGCTTTTCTAACCAGCATAGTTAAATTATAATATATGTTACCCTTCTCAAACAAAATCTCAAAATTTCACCTATAATTTCTGGGGAAAAAAATCCCAAACTTCATTTTGCATTCACTAGCATTAAAAAAAAAAAAAAAAGCTTTGAAAACTAAGTATTTCCCACTAGAATAAAATTCCCATTTGACTTCATCATAGTAAAAAAAATTATGTAAACACAAACTTAAGATAAATTTAATTGAAGAAGACATTCGTTACAGATTTTAACAATGCTTACCATTCTTTAAACACCATATACATTATTAATATATACCGTATATTTCCAATCAATTCCGTTCTTAGGCTCAATTTAAGAAACACAATTGTAACAGGTTTTATACAAAAAATACTTCACTTCTAAGAAAGTAGACAAACTGCACAAAAACAGTACATGTATAATGTGCATAGCAAGATAGCTTGAAGCATCTATGTATGGCTTTCTTTAAAATAAAATTATTGGGGGAGTGGGCCCATCTGGGACCTAATGTTACAGTTGACGTATGTAAACTGTTTCACATCTTTTAGGCACTTGCTAACAATAGTGTTCAATCCCTGAAAACTGAATTTATCAAAAAAAAGAAATTGTACATCTGAAATGGAAACCAAAAAAATAACATGGGTAAAGTCTTACATATTCCTTTTAAATTAAACGACAAGTTTTATTAGTGCATGCACAGAACTAAATTGAAAGAAAATAAACTTTTTATGTCAAAAACTTTCTGTGCAAAATTTACATAACTGAAAGGTACAAAAATATGTACAGGTTTTAAATTCTTTGTTATATACAGAAAAGGAGCCCTGAAGTTTTCAATCAATGAAAATGTCATAACACTAGTAGTAACAATGTAACAAAAATTATATAGTAATTTTTTAATACAAGAACTCCATTGTCCAATGGTCCAACAAAATTTGATTCAAACTTACAAAGTGGGAAGTTTAAATTGATGATTCTGTTGTCATGAAAATATTCATTTTAAAACTCTACCTGTTGGGTATATCCCTTCGGAATCTGTCCTGAAGTGTTATGCACTGTCACTGAGTCCACTATTAATGCTTCTTCAATTTCCAACTGCAAACAATCAGTAATCTGCTTTGGGTTGTCAGTCATACTGAGAAGTTGCTAACAAAAATGGTTTGTCCCAGTGTGGACATGTTCAGACACTAATAATAAACACAAAAGTATGATTTGCTTTGCTAATCTTACTTCAAAATATTGTTTCTGAGGAATAATTTTTAATTTTCAAGAAAAGCCATTCCCTTGGAAGTGCTTCTATGTTTCACTCTTTTTAAAGGGATGGCAACCAAGAAAAAAATTGGCCACTTGGTTTACGAGGGGACAAACAATTTAAATCAAATAAACATAGTTCTGTGCAAGGGAACCACTGGGGAATATAACCAAATTCAGAAAAATGTTCAAGTTCTTTAAATGAACTTCAAACTAGACAGAGTTTAATTCTTCTCTCGAGATTGCCCATCTACTGCAACGCTTGAGAGCCATTTAGAAAAAGAAAATCACCTTGGAAGGGTGTTCCAATCAATGACATGTAACACAGCTTACAAGGAAAAAAGATCTGCTTGTCAAAAACTCTTATCAACTATCATATGAGGTGTAACTGTAGTGAGTTAAATGCCCTCAAAGGAGCTTAACTACTTTCTAAAGAACTACATTTTGCAGATGTAGAGTAAGTTCTTTACCCAAGTTCTCTTAGAATATCTTCACAAATGATGAGAAACTCCTTCAGTTCCATAATGAAAGAGCTCTCAACCTCTTCAGGGGAGCTACAGTTATCAGAATCATAAGGCTGGTGGAAGAAGAGAGGGAATGGGGCTGTCACCTGTTACTCTCTACTAAGAGTCACTAAACTCGGAAAACTGTTTTATCAAAATTTTTAGCCCTAACTTCCCGAGAACACATTTTAAAAAATTAAATCAAGGTATATCTGTGCTGATTAGTTTCTTTCAAAACTTACATGTGCACTGACAGCATTTTCAAATATCACACTAAAACTTTTGCTCTTCCATGGAAAGTCAACTTTTAAATGTTTAACTTCAGGTACTATATTGAAGTAAAAAATGTCTGCATTAGTAATTCAACCCACTATTTTCTTCTAAGGTACTTTTACTTTTCTTTTCCTTGGTAATTACAGTAAATTATTCTAACATGTTCCAATCACGAGTAGCTTCCATTAAATGTCTCTGACCATGACCAGCCCAAGCATCCTGATTGTCAAATACTCTACCACAAAACCAACAGTTAAATTTAGCCTTCAGAACATTTTCAGAGGTAGTTTTCACAATCTGGTAATTGTTTTTGCTTGTCTTTTTGAGAGTTAATTTTAGCACAAATCTTTCTTTCACAGAACTAACAGGTTTAAATGTTTTGTGCCTCTTGGGAAAATCATCGTAAGTTGTTTTAGAAGGATTATAACAAACTGGTTTCAGTAAAGCACTGATAGTTCTTTTTGACAATGAAACCTTAAGTACACGTCCATTAAATTTAGCAATAGTTTTCATTACATTTACTACTTCTGGGGCATCTGCATCAGGATGATTCAAAACTACAACTGGTTGGTTTCTCCTAGGACATTTCACAAGCTGTTTGGAACTGAAGGGGAAAAGCCGCAAAGTTCTGACTGAATCTTTTGAAAGCCTAGGTCTGCTGAATCCGAATGATTCATGGACATCTTCAGGCTTTCCTTTTTCTTTACACTTTCTGTGTAATGCTTTTTTTCTTGGAGGTTCTTGGTAACTATCCCTACACTTGCGTTTACAGTTTCTGTTTCTAGATACGAAGGAAGTTTCAGAATCTTTACTTCTTTCATGAGTTTTTATTCTTGAACATTTCTTTTTCGAAGTCTTTTTCTTACTGAAGCTTCTCTCAATTGTACAATTTGTTTTACACCGTAATACCCTGGCCTCTGAATGGTCAGTGATACCTATTGGTTCCTCAGAAGATTCTGGGCATGTTGCAGTAGAAGTTATCACAATTTCATTTGCTGGCATCATATCATCTAGTAATAAGGGTAAGGCATCTCTAGAAGATTCTGGCTCTTTCTGCTCTCCTCCTATAGTCTGATTAGATGGTACATTGTCTTTCTGCAATGAGGATGCAGAGTTGCTTACTGACAGATTATTAGCAGCAGTCACATTTAAAACAGGGTTAAAAATTTTCAGCAATATTTTTTGTGGTGTTCCTTCAGGTTTCTTTGGCTGTATATTTTTATAATAAGTACTATTCTGGACTAATTTAGACTTAAGCAGCTCAGTCTTATTTGGCATCACACACTTTAAAAAAACAGCTTGTTTGCCATCAGGCAAAAGGGTGTAAAGAGGTGGTTTTGGAAAAATCTTGTTCTGCTGTTTTACTGAATCTGAGATATTCAACTTAGTGCCCTGATGCTCAGATATTATATTAGGAGCAGGAACACCTTTCACTGAAGAACTTGCTGGCGTTTTAATAATGTAAGGGCCTTTTAATGACAAAGTATTTTCTGAGCTACTTTTCATGCTCAAACAGCTGCCAATGCTGGAACAAAGTGCAGGGGTTAGACAATTACTGTTTGGTTCTACTTTTAAAAAAGGTGTTCTGCAAGGCTCCTTACTTGTAGTTCCACAAGCTTGAGCATTCTCAGTTTTGACAGCAGAAACACCTTCAAGTTTCCCATTATTAAATGTTAAAATCATCCCAGGTTTCTTGTTTAAAAGGAGAGAGGCAGGGACACCTTGTGTATTAACCAATGGAAGTGGTCTTCCTGAAACATGTAATGCAGGCTTGTTAGCAACGTGCAATGGTACAAAAAAGCCTTTTGGAGTCTGAACAAAGATAGCCTTTTTTGGTTCTGAATTTACAAGTGGACTCTGCACATACAAAGAACCTACATTTTGCGTAGTGGCTCGTAGTTTGTCTTTTACAAGCTGCTGTGTAATTATTGCATCTGACTGAGTCTTAAGTAATGTGCCAAAACCAGAAATTCTAGGAGTCTTCTCTGAATCTCTCACATCTTGTGACATTGACAACATTTGTTTTTCTTTTCCACTGAATTTTAAATTCAGATAATTTGTAGCCACATTAATCCCCATATTACCAGATGGAACTGGAAAGAAGCCTTGTACTTTCAAGTCTTTTGAAGATTCAACTATTTTGTCTTCTCCCTCATGTTTCTGAAATGACTGGTCACAATGAAGCGGCAGGTCTTTATCTGGAGTGTTACTAGAGTCTTGTTTTACATCAGGTTTTGCTTTTAATACATCTTGAAGTAACTGGTTTATTTCAGGTGGCAAAAGTTCTGACGCCTGTTGGCTCTGGAGAGAGAAAACAGATGTAATTCTAGGCATCATAGGTGATTCAACACTAGAAACGTCATCCCATTTAGGCTTTTCAGTCATGCTCTCTAAATTCTGATTTTCATTAGTGTATAGGTTCTGCCCATCAATGTTTTGTCCTTTTTCTAAAACACACTGTTCTTCAATTTCAGCTTGTGTTTTTAAAGTTCCATCTTTAGTATTTAAACGACTAATAGATGCTAACAGGCTATCTGGGTTTGAGCTCTCCTTCCTCACTAGTGATAAAACTGACTCACTTATTGGTTGTTGAACTACTGTCTTGCTTGATGAAGATTCTCTTTGAGGGTTTTCACACACTGCTGTCCCTGAAAACCTATGACGTTTATTAGAATTATTCACTTTTGAGTAATTATGAAAAGGTAATGATCCTTGGTTGGAAGATTCAACAGGTAACTCAGAGTTGACATAATTAATGCAATAGTTATGCATATCTCCACTGTTGTATGAATTTGGTTTGGTAGTACAGGTGACTTTATCTTGACTTTTAATGGCAGTACCTGATACCTCAGGGTGACACTGAGTAATATGACTTCCCCATAAGTCAACATTCTCTCTCATTTCTACTTTTGTGGTCAAATTCACTGATGCTGTGATCAATTCTGATGTTACTGGCAAAGGAGAAACACTTTTTCCATCATCCATTGTTGGAAGCATATTACTTGTTTGAGATAGCAAAGCCATTTCTTTTTCTGAAGTTACCTTCCCTGAAAGTATAGGAGATGAAGATGAAAATGGAGTAGCTGCTTTCATGTAAACTGTGTCATTTAACTCAGTTGTTACTCCTGTTAAAAATGCAGTAGTGTCCAAAGTCTGGGGCTGCAAAATTGCAGTATTGTCCCTTACAGCACCTGACTGTGAGCCTGGTGAATATAAATTCTGTTTATTGGTAGGCAACAGTTTTATTACAATATGTTGTTTTCCATCCACCATCTTAAAGCCCATAAACTTAGCACTGTAGTTAGCAGGAATTGTTATTCTATTATTTTTTACCATTAACACTGTAGGTCCTTGTACAGCAGTCTTCAAGAAACCTGAAGTAGAATTTGATCCCTCTTCAGCTCCATTACATTGCCCAGTGGACAGAAGAGTTGGCTTTTCTGACTCTGACTCAGCAGGTTTATCATTATTCTCACAGTATAGTCTTTCATCCTTTTCTTCATTTATATGTTCCTGAACAAGATGGCTCTGGTCTTCAGATTTAGCCTGTGTTTTGTTCACTTTTTTAAGCACTTGAGTGTTTCTTTCTATACTTCTGTCACTTCCATTGTTGATTTTCTTACGTTTCCAGAATGTCTTCCTTGATGCACCTATTTTATATCTTTTCAATATTAGTTTAAGTCCTGCTGAAGTCTTTGCCATCCTTTTTTCATATTTGTCTTTTTCCAGTTTTTCTTTCGCATATAAATGTTCTTTGTGCAAAGTTATAACGTGTCTTACAAGGTGCTCTCTCCTGGTAGCACCATAGCTACAATATTGACAAGTGAAGGGAAACGTACCAGAATGAATATGAAGGTGCTTCTGAAGCTCTCCTTTGGTTAAACATATATAATGGCATTTACCACATCTATAAAGGATTTCGTTATGTCTATGTATGTGCTGAACAAATGTGCCAACATCCTGGGTGGAGAATTCACACTTTTCACATTGAAAATTACCATTTACACAATGTGTGGATGAAAAATGCTTTGTCAAGTCTAATAAAGTATATAAATTCTCATTGTTACAAATGTCACATTTTACTAAAGTAATTCTATGGGTTCGTCTATGTTGTTTGAATACCTGGAAGTCGTTTGCTGAAAAACTGCACATTTCACAAGGATATGAAGGTAATTCACCACGGTGCCACATTTGGAAGTGTTTCTGCAAATCATTTGGGCTATACCGAGTACTATCTCGGCACTTCAAACAGTTGAAGTTGAGTATTTTTGCAGACATTTTTATACCTTCTTCTTCAACTCTCTCAGACTTATGGAGTAACATACACTCCTCTACACAGCTTACAGTCTTTATACCGATAGATTTTCTTGCAGTCTGTGGTTTATGCTGAAATAATTTTCTGTATTTGTCAACTTCATGTTTCAATAGGACCTCATTTGGAATATTTATCTTCGGCAAAACAATTTTCACATTTTTTAGTTCATAATGAAAACTACTTTCTGAAATTTTTGGTTTAAGTACTGATCTGATAGTATCAACTCTCTCATTTTTCACATCATAATCTCTTTTTAAAGTATTCTGTTTTTCATCAAAAAATAAATGTTTCTGTTCAGATGGCATGATTTAACCAAAAAAATCCCAATTTCTTTTTTTCCTGCAAACTCTTGAAGTTACTTGTAATTTGAACAGGAAACAATACTGTGCCGAGACATCTTCAAAATACCAGGATTTTTCCCACATTAACTCACCTAAAATCAAACAAAGAACTGAAATTTTCATCACAGAAGTATCAGTAAAATTCATATTTTAAGTTCACTTTGGCACAAAGCAAGAATGTTGATCAAACAAAAGACAGAAAAGACCTATTAAGTATTTTAAGAACAGCTTACCAAGAAGTAATAGTCTGAAGTAGAAATGACACTAATCTGGATCTCAGGAAATACAAGCTTTACTTCCAGCTCTGCTCTGTAACACTGGGTAAGGTTTGACTTCTCTGCACCTCAGTTTCCTCATCTAAAGAAAACCACAATTGGATATGCACCTTTAAGCTCTAAGATTTTATATAAAGTTGATACTACAGTTTTTAAACAGGATTTTAAAAATCTCAACAAGAGAGCCCTATAAACTTAAGTTCCACTGACACACATGGTTCCAATTATACATATATACCATTAACTTTCTCAATTACTTAGTTGACCCTATAGCTATTACCTTGTGAGAATTTCAACAGACTTCTCTGCAGATTTTCTACTTCCCTAGTGCCTCAGGGATAATTTACGTTTAAAATAAAAGTTTCATTCACCTAAACAACAATAACAAAAAGACATTGCCTGCTGTCTCAAGTTAGCATTAATAACTGGTAAAAAAAGAAGAAATTAAAAGGAGTAACACATTTCCCTGGGGTACTCCTAAGTCTAGCTACTACTTCTGATTCCCTACCATTTTGGCTTTTTTTGTCCCTAGAACTAAGTCAGGTGGCAGCAAGGCAAGCCCTTGGCAGATGAGAATGTACCCATTACTAGCTGCCTCCATTAATTCAAACACTTACTGGTTTGTGTTACTCTAGACAAGTCTCAATCTCTGTGTTTTAGTTTCTTCATCTATAAAATGAAAAAAAAAAATTAGTATTTCCCCTACCCCTTTCACAGGGTTGTTGTAAAGATTAAATGAGGACACATAAGTAACAGAATCCTGTAAAGTACTATATAAACTGTAGCTACCACCATTACTGTATGTGATCACCATGTATGAGACATTATGATTCAAGGTGCAGAGGAACAGAAAACAGTAGAGTTAAAAAGATGTGACAGGGACTTCCCTGGCTGTCCAGTGGTTAAGACTCCATGCTTCCACTGCAGGGGGTGTGGGTCTGATCCCTAGTTGGGGAACTAGGATCCTACACGCCACACAGCAGGGCCAAAAAAAAAAAAAGGACGTGACAATATATTGCTGAGAACAGAATGTGACTACTGAAGGTTCAGTAGTAAATATATCAAACAGTACTACATTTTCTTACTTTCATGGTCTTAAATATGTATACGAGTAATAGATATAATTAGGTAAGCTAAAAAAATAAAGTATAAATCACATTAAGCTTCATTCATGTCTACCCAAAGGTCTCACCTCTAAATTTCAATTAATCTAAGTAACTAGGAACTTCACTGTTTTAAAAATCCTTTCTGAGAGAATATAATTAAAAGTTAAATTACTTTACATTACTACTAAGAGGCCCTTTGAATATTTCTCAAACTTAAAACTTTTGGTTGGGTCTAAAAAACACCTTCAATATTTTTCAAATATATATATGCTGACTTGAAAATGAATTCATTAGAAGGGTATGAGTTTACTGAAAAAAATTTTTTTTACATACCATGCCTAATACAGTAAAAAAAATTTTTTTACTATATTATTTAAAGCTAAATGTAAAGACTTTTTCTTCAAGAGTAAGAATAATAATAAATGGCTGGAAAAAAGTTCAATGATACCTGGTGGATACTTCACACCAACTGAGAAGATTCTCTACAGAGTATCACATTCTCAACAGTGAGTGACAAGCATCATGGTCATCTATGGAGTTTTCACCATACCAGAATCTGAGGGTGGGGCTCAAATATGTGAAACTTTTAAAGCACATTAAGTAATGATTCTTCCACATTTGGATACCATATTGTGGTCACTCCAGACTATCCATACCCAAGCTTTTGTATTTCTATATATAATCAAGAGACGTCTATATCATAGGTTTCATTACAGAAGGCAAATCGCTTCTTATAGTAATATTATGTTTCCAAAAATGTGTAATGCTAAAAAATTACATATTTTGATAATATTTCTAAATATCATCAACTTCATTTCAAAATACCTATATAATTTTAAATTTTTCTTAGTAGAAAACACATATCCCAAAGTTTGACAACCAGTGTGATTTAAATAACTTCATCAACTAATACTTACTAAAAAAATACCTACTATAAATGTGTTGCATTTTGATGAGTGCTATGGAGAGATGCAAAAACATGGTCCCTACCCTTAACTGCAGCTTGCAATCTAAAGGAAGAGGCAGGACAAATAAGTTAATATACTGCTTATTCAGAGTTGATCATCCAGCAACCTTAAGCTTCTAATACACAAAAAATAGAAAATAATTAAGTAGGATGCATGGCAGCCAAAACAGATGCCACAGAGTTCACCCATTAGTGTAACATGCCCCTTCCTCACATACAAAACAATGCTGAAGGGCTTCCCTGGTGGCGCAGTGGTTGAGAGTCCACCTGCCGATGCAGGGGACACGGGTTCGTGCCCCGGTCCTGGAAGATCGCACATGCCGCAGAGCGGCAGGGCCCGTGAGCCATGGCCGCTGAGCCTGTGCTCCGCAATGGGAGAGGCCACAACAGTGAGAGGCCCACGTACAACAACAACAAAAAAACAATGCTGAAAAAAGGGACCACCTCATTAAGAAATCCACTTAGCTTTTACTTAAGTCTGATAACTGCTAATTAACTGATGTTGAATGTCATTATTTTTTATACTTAATGTATGGCATGTATAATGTAGCTTTAAGAGAGTTTGTGCATTTTAGGTATTTTGGGGTTTATTTGCCCTCAAATTTTAAGTTTGGAGAATGTGTTTTATTTTTTTCAACCTGTTTTATGTGGAAGCAATCAAAGATGACACCTGGTAGCAAATTATACTACGGTTGCCATCTATGGGGGGGAAAATGTGTTCCATTAAAAAAAAAAGGAAAGAAATTTTATTATAATTTTAATCTTCCAACCTATTAGCTAATGCTATTTTCACTACAGACCAATCTCTACACCCCACCAACAAGGATTACTGATTTTAAATCTCCTACTTAAATTACCGCCTTACATATATGTATTATTATCTCATAAGACTTGAACAACATCTCGTCAAGCCTTAAAATAATACTATTTGTTTAAAGTATGACTAGCCCTTTAAAGTAACCCAGAGTTTGCTGCATCAAGATAGCAACTCAAGCCATTTGATTTTCTCCCTCTCCCAACTGAAACACAAACCAAAAAATATAATTAAAAAAAATCCTACAAAATGGCAAGAAACTAAAACACATTCCACAGCTATGCCACAAGGTGTTTGGAAAGAAAAGGTCCAGAGAGAGAAGAGTGAAAACAAATGCTGATCAAGCAGCACTTTTAAAGCACCACTTTTAAAGAGGAAGCACACTAGGAGACATTCATTCAACCAATATTCAATGAGTATCTATCTATTATGCCCTAAGTAAAAAAGTAACAAGTCCACCCACTCCCTCTCCTAAACATACCTTGTGAGAGAAGTGAGGGCTTGAGAGGAAGCTTGTGTGAAGCCCTTTGGGGTGACAGAAGGCTCAGGCTGAGGTATGGGAAGAGAATGAATCCAGGGCTTTGAGCTGGGTCCAGAGACCAGACACAGTTGGGGGTTGCTAGCACCAGCTGTCAGGAGAGATGTAAAGAAGACATCATTTCTGAACAAAGATACATCTTCCTAAATCCATGGCCATCTTGTTCTGTTTAAGAGTGCTGCCTTTTCTCAGTGTAAGTAAATTACTAACTCTAAGCTGTCAGAAGAAAATTACATTAACTTTCTCCACTTCATCTAACCAACTACGAAAATCTTGGTTTATTCTCCAACAATACATCTCAACTCCCAATGCCATCAAAAAAGATAAGCAGGCAGAAACATCACTGGATGCAGCAGCTCAAAAAAGGGAAAGTATTCTGAACACTCAGAGAAACCTCTCACCCATTCTCTCAACCAGCAGTGAAAACCAATAACTACAATGAAAGTTACTGGAGGAAAACGGAGAAAGCTTAAAAAAAAAAAATCAAGTAGTGATTGGCAATCTCACTAAGACCTGAGCTAGTATACTGAGAAAAACAAAAAAACAAAAATAAAACATACTGCCATGAAAGACAGAACAAAGTGGATGGGGGAGAAATAATGGTTTTGAAAACAGGAGAAAAAAATTACATGGAGTTGTTGCTTTTTTTTTTTAAAGCCTTGAATTTTCAAAATCAAAGGCTCCCCAAAATGCCAGGCAAGATTATTAGTGGGAAAATATAAAACTCAGTATCTAAACTTATCCTAGTAAAATGTTTGAATTTAAAAGATAAAAATGAAATTTTACCAAAAAAGAGTGGAATGGGAATTACCTAAAAAGATATTCACAGCAGCAACTTTAATCAGACATCAATATTAATCAGACATTTTACTCACAATTCGAAACACTAGAAGACAATGAAATAACATTTATAGAGTTCTGAGGGAAAATAATTAACCCAAGAATTAATTCTATACCCAGGAAAACTCTCATATGGGAGGGAAAAACACAATTTTAGATATGTAAAGATTCAGAGAATATACTACATATGCACTGTTTCTAGGAAAATTTTTAATACTTCAGCAAAAACCAAATTTCAGTCAGAAAAAAAAAGAACTAAAAAAAATAATGTGATATAAAAGAAATATCTGTCAACAATAACATCTACAAAAGAGAAATAAATGTAAATATTTCGTAAACACAGTTAAGAACGCAGAAAAGACTGGAGAATAGGAACATCTGCAAAATGACAAATATATAAGAAGCCCTTACAGAAAAATTCACGATGGGAAACAGAAGAGGTGACAATAGCAACAAAATTCTAGATACTAGAAAGGAGATAAGTAGTAAATGACCTTGCAGACTCAAGAAAACAATCCCAGGCAGACAGTGCAAACTAAGAACTAACCCATTTTATACTCTGAATCTTCAAAAGACTTAGGAACTGGCAGCACCAAGTCACTCTGAAATGGGAAGAAGAAAGGAGGAGGAAGCTAAAATAAAGAGAATTTTGGAGAAAGCTGCTTGAGTTTTGGTTAGATGCTAAGATTCTCTTCCCCACTCCATCAAGCTAGGTTACTGCTGTTCCCCAACCACAGCAGAAGTCTGGAGGTTATTCTCTGCAGAAAGTAAAACAGAATCTTTGAAATACAGGATACCAGACACAGCTGAGAAAGTGGGTACCATACCAAAAAGAAGAGGATTAAATGACCATATACATATGAGACACAAACCCCATCCCATGCCCCAGTTGGCTCCTAGGCTAAAACAGGGCTACTAAAAGTGTGGTTTGCTGATGATCCATGAACCATTTGTCACCAGTCCATGACAAGATTTGTACAGAAACTGAGTAAGCATTTAGAAACTGTAACAGCACTTTCACAGTGTTAAGTTTATGTCTGTTGAATCCAACAATAAAAATTTGGACTTGTTTTGCATGCTTTCTTTTTAAAATTTCATTTTCTTTTTTGTTTTTTACCTTGCTAAAAATCATTTTATTTTTCGTTCAATAAACATTGTCCATGGATTTCCCATAAAATTTCATTTTCTAGAAATAAAGGCACTACAACATACTAATGATGGGAATGTAAGCTGACAGAACTTTCATAAAAAACAATTTGTAAAATATATGTATTTATTATAAATATTATAATAATTTTTATAAAATAATATAAACATAAATATAAACATATCTACATCTACATATATGCTGCGGGAGAAAGTACAATAATTTCCAATTCACTCCTAGAAATCTATCCTAAAGGTAATAATCAGATGTTCACAGAAGCACTGTTTACAAAATCACGAAATTAAAAATAACTAAAAGCCCACCAATAAATAATTTATGGTATTTCTATTCAATGGAATACTCTTCAATTTTAAAAACAACATTGTAAACCCACATTTATTAACAGGAAGAGATCCAAGACACATCAAGTGAAAAAAACAGAAATCAAATGGTAGACATGTTAGGATTTAATTTGTTCAACTCTTATTAGATGGGTAGAAAATAGATGGATAAACAGACACATGGTCCCCTACAAACTCTCAGTAAGAAGTCAAGAACATACACACAAAAAATGTTTATAGTGATTACTGGTTATCCTTAGGTCAGTGTTTCTTAAAATGTTATCCTTGGATTACTATGACCTCCACACTGGCATACTTCCTTATCATAGCACAAGCAAATAGCTTACATTTGGATGTAACAAGAATGACAATCTCTTTGTCCCTAGACCACACTATTATGAAGCTTTATCAAAAAAAGTGGCATGAATCTATGAAACTTTTGTAATTCTCAAACAAAGCAACTGACTTTGTGGTAAACCAACTAAGCTTTTCCTGAACAAACTCAAAATAGTAAACTTGACACCAGTATAAAATTGAAGAATGTTGACACTAAAGGTGGACAAGAAATTAAAACAAAATAGGTATTATTCAACGCTGTCCTCCCCTTATCAACACACAGGTACCCAATTACACTGTAACAGCTACAAAGCTAACGGCAAACATAATACTCAGAGAATGAAGAACTATGCTATTAGATGTCACTATACCTCATAAATTTATGCTGTGAAGATAAATTTTTTAATTTAACAATTAATTTGAAAGCCATGAGGTTATTTAAAAAGTAAGTAAAAAGAGAGTTGGCACCACCAGAATAGCAGTTATGTATGCACTGCTGTTAAACAAATAAAAAGTTGTATGTATTTTATACAGAAAACAAGTAGTATTCAACTAATAATACGATTCCTGATCTTGGTACATTGTTAAAAGAAAGAATAAAAATTGTAACATCAATCTAAGTTTGACTTTTTTTTTCTATACACTATATAAAGAAATAAATAGCAAGTATAATGTTGAACTGTTTTTGCATTAGTTAAGCATATAATTCTTTAATAAAGTACTGGTTTTGATCTGACAAAATTGTATTTATTCTTATTTTCTTTTCTAGTGTTCTCATTAAGTTTTGGTATTGGTATTATGAAGAATTTGTAAAATGAATTGGGGTACCTTCCATCATTTAATCTGCTCTTGAACAGTTCACTGAACATGAGACTTGCCTGCTCTTTAAAATTACACAGACTGCACCAACACACCATATGGGTCTGGTACCTTTTTAAATTTTAGACTTACAATCTTTGTAAGTTCTTCTATGGTTTCTGGGATCTTTGGGTTTTCTACTGCTTAAGTCACTTTTGGCAATTTATGTTTTCCTTGAAAAAAAAAAGCAATTTCCTTCACATTTTCTAAGTATACCTCCATAAACCTCACTTTTAACAATCTATCCTACAGAAATAAAAGCACAACATAGAGATATGTATCAGTAGCACTTAAATGTCCACGAATAGGAAAATGATTAAGTAAATTATGGAATATCCACATGAAAACAATATAAAGAAAGAGGTATATGTATTGAATTGCCTTGGAAAGATATTTATTGTGAAATTTTTTTAGTTTTCAAAAAAGGAAGTTGTAGACTAAGGCATGTAATATATTTTTAAATTAGCAGGAAAGAGCCTTGTTTTTATGTCAGAAGCAAAGATCCTATGAGTACATGTTTGTACACAGACAAATTTATAGATATCCTTCAAACTACTGATAACAGGTTAATTTATTTTAAAGGAATGACAGCATGGCACAGCAAAAAACAAAATAAAATAAAACAAAAACAAAAAACCAAACAAACCAAAACAACATGGAAAGAATCATCAGATCTCGTAAGAACCTTGACTGAAACCAAGAAGGCAATGTCACTACCACAAGTCTTTACTGAGGCCTGCCTGTATATTCCTGCCCTTGAATTCTAGGAAATTCTGTATCCTTAACATAATTCCCCCTTTTCAGCTGACATTAGCTTAAACTAGCTTAAGCTAGTTTTATTACTTGTAACCAAAGTTTCTTTCTTTTTGTTTTTTTTTAATTGGAGTATAATTGCTTTACAATGTTTTGTTAATTTCTGCTGTACAACGAAGTGAATCAGCTATATGTATACATATATCCCCTCACTCTTGGACCTCCCTCCCATTCCCCATCCCACCCAGCTAGGTCATCACAGAGCACCCAGCTGAGCTGCCTGTGCTATACCACAGGTTCCCACTAGCTATTTTACACATGGTAGTGTATTTATGGCAAACCTAATCTCCCAATTCATCCCACCCTTCCCTTCCCTCCCTGTGTCCACACATCTGTTCTCTACGTCTGCATCGCTGACATTAAGTTAATAGATCAATGTTGACTGTGTTTATTTCACAGAAAGGAAGGTTTTGTGATGATCCTTTAAAGAGTTAAACGACTTAAACATGTAAGAAAGGAGGAAAGGTTATCTAGACCAGAAAAAAAGAAATATTAGAAGAACTGCAGGATCTAGATCACAGACAGAATGGCAAGGTTAAGTAAGAAGACTACAGAGGCGGGCTTCCCTAGTGGCGCAGTGGTTGAGAGTCCGCCTGCCGATGCAGGGGACGCAGCTTCGTGCCCCGGTCCAGGAAGATCCCACATGCTGCGGAGCAGCTGGGCCCGTGAGCCATGGCCGCTGAGCCTGCGCATCCGGAGCCTGTGCTCCGCAACCGGAGAGGCCACAACAGTGAGAGGCCCGCGTACCGCAAAAAA